TGGATCCAGATATCTCCCCAGCTTGGGGAACTTTAGATGTACAGTAACTTTTTCTGGCCGACGTATGCTAAAATAGACTGAGCCAAAATCCTGGGTTAAAACAGATCTGTAAAGCCGTTGTCTTAACTGTCTGTCCCAGACACAGCTCTAACACCATGACCAGCTCTTGCTACTCTAAGAGATTTTTGACATGGCTATTTACATGAGTCCCCAATGTTATTGGGTTGGATTTGTTCTCATTGCTCTGGTGTAAATCTGGAATGACTCTATTACGGTCCACAGCATCATCTCTATTACCTCATTGCTATGATTATTGATTACTGGGAATGATCTATTGTCAGTGTCACCAGCTGGCATATGGGAGGTTTCTATCAAGAGGTCTGAACATAAAGTAGGGGACAGAACTAGCCCCTGTCTGAAATGCCTGGGGACCACACTGATGGGCACCAGCCCCGATCCCTAACTTTGCCATGTCTCTGGAGAAGGAAACCTTCTTTTTGTTCCATATTCAAACAGTGATCTACAGCCTGAGGTCCTGGTTCAGGAATAGACTCATCATCCTTGTAACAACAGTGCCAATGCTGCTGCTGCTGCTCATGATGATGATGATGATGATGGGAACAGCTAGCAGATGGAGCAGCAGGTTGTTTTTCTGGTTTAGACAATCACCCATGACTCAGGAAACCGAAGTCACTACTTCAGGATTCAATTCCTGCCTCTGCCACACCCCCATGAGTGACTTGGAAAAGAGGCCTAGTCTCATCAGACCAAGGCTTTAAATTGCTGATAGCAAAACATCCTTCTTCCTTTCTTTGGGTGGTCCTTCTTGGACAGGAAGCTCTCCAGGCAGGCACTGACTTCTTTCTTTATTTGGAGAGAATCCAACATGCTTGGGACCTCTAGCCTCAATTCATGACATTAAATATATAGTGGTCCCTGCTCGATGGGCAGCCCACACCGCGGGGTCTCATGGCTTCCTTTGGTTGTTTAATGAATTGAGAAATATGACTACATGCTGTGACAGCTGAAATCTTCACCCTTACCATGAAGAAGTTCTTCCTTACATCCAACCTGGAACCATCCTCTAATGGTTTATGTCCACTGCTCCTTGTCCTCCTCTGGGGCATCATAGTGAAAAGTTTATCTCCCAGCTCCTGATATTCAACCCTTACACACTTGGAGATGGCCACCAAGTCCCCCGTCAGTTTTCTCTTGCCCAGGCTGAACAGCCCCACATCCCTGAGTCTTTCCTCATGAGGTTTGTCCTCTAGGGCCTTCATCATTCTTGTGGCCCTTCTCTGGACACTTTCAGGTATCTCTATGTTTTTGGGTTTCTTTTATTTTTTTTTTGAGGTGTAGCACTCAGACCTGGCCTATGTATGCTAAAATAGACTGTGCCAAAATCCTGGGTTAAAACAGATCAGTAATTCGGTGTCTTAACTTTCTGTCCCAGACACAGCTCTTACGCCATGACCAGCTCTTGCTACTCTAAGAGATTTTTGACATGGCTATTTACATGAGTCTCCAAATTTTATTGGGTTGGATTTGTTTTCATTGCACTGGTGTAAATCTGGAATGACTCTATTGCAGTCCACAGCATTATTCCTATTGCCTCATTGCTATGATTATTGATTACTGAGAATGATCCATTGTCAGTGTCACCAGCTGGCATATGGGAGGTTTCTATCAAGAGGTCTGAACATAAAGTAGGGGACAGAACTAGCCCCTGTCTGAAATGCCTGGGGACCACACTGATGGGCACCAGCCCCGATCCCTAACTTTGCCATGTCTCTGGAGAAGGAAACCTTCTTTTTGTTCCATATTCAAACAGTGATCTACAGCCTGAGGTCCTGGTTCAGGAATAGACTCATCATCCTTGTAACAACAGTACCAAGGATGATGATGATGATGATGATGATGGGAACAGCTAGCAGATGGAGCAGCAGGTTAGCACATCAAAGCCCACCACCATGAAAGCCATGAAAGCCACAAATAGGCCATATGTGATGTTGGCTCTGACATTCCCACACACCAGCTTTACCACAGCCATGTGCTCGCAGTAGGAGTGGGAGATGAGGCGGTGCCCACAGAAGGGAAGCCGGCTGGTGAGGATGGAGACGGGGCTCACCAAGAAGACTAAGGGCTGGAGCCGACCTCGACAGATCATCGAGTCCAACCCCCTTCCCTGGGCAGGAATACTGCTGACATCAAATGATCCCAGCAAAAGGTGTCTGTCCAGTCTGCTCTGGAAGATTTCCAAGGCTGGGCACTGCACCACCTGGGCAGTCTAGTCCAGATTCTCTTCACCCTTACCATGAAGAAGTTCTTCCTTACATCCAACCTGGAACCATCCTCTAATGGTTTATGTCCACTGCTCCTTGTCCTCCTCTGGGGCATCATAGTGAAAAGTTTATCTCCCAGCTCCTGATATTCAACCCTTACACACTTGGAGATGGCCACCAAGTCCCCCGTCAGTTTTCTCTTGCCCAGGCTGAACAGCCCCACATCCCTGAGTCTTTCCTCATGAGGTTTGTCCTCTAGGGCCTTCATCATTCTTGTGGCCCTTCTCTGGACACTTTCAGGTATCTCTATGTTTTTGGGTTTCTTTTATTTTTTTTTTGAGGTGTAGCACTCAGACCTGGCCTATGTATGCTAAAATAGACTGTGCCAAAATCCTGGGTTAAAACAGATCAGTAATTCGGTGTCTTAACTTTCTGTCCCAGACACAGCTCTTACGCCATGACCAGCTCTTGCTACTCTAAGAGATTTTTGACATGGCTATTTACATGAGTCTCCAAATTTTATTGGGTTGGATTTGTTTTCATTGCACTGGTGTAAATCTGGAATGACTCTATTGCAGTCCACAGCATTATTCCTATTGCCTCATTGCTATGATTATTGATTACTGAGAATGATCCATTGTCAGTGTCACCAGCTGGCATATGGGAGGTTTCTATCAAGAGGCCTGGACAGAAAGTAGGGGATAGAATTAGCCCCTGTCTATAATGCCTGGGGACCACACCGATGGGCACCAGCCCCGAACCCTAACTTTGCCAGGTCTATGGAGCAGGAAACCTTCTTTTTGTCCCATATTCAAACAGTGATCTACAGCATGAGGTCCTGGTTCAGGAATAGACTAATCGTCCTTGTAATTTCAGTACCAATGATGATGATAATGATGATGATGATGATGATTATGGGAACAGCTAGCAGTTTGAGCAGCAGGTTTTTTTTCTGGTTAAGACAATCACCCAGGACTCAGGAAACCGAAGTCCCTACTTCAGGATTCAATTCCTGCCTCTGCCACACCCCCATGAGTGACTTGGAAAAGAGGCCTAGTCACGCCAGATCAAGGCTTTAAAGTGCTGATAGCAAAACATCCTTCTTCCTTTCTTTGGGTGGTCCTTCTTGGACAGGAAGCTCTCCAGGCAGGCACTGACTTCTTTCTTTATTTGGAGAGAATCCAACATGCTTGGGACCTCTAGCCTCAATTCATGACATTAAATATATAGTGGTCCCTGCTCGATGGGCAGCCCACACCGCGGGGTCTCATGGCTTCCTTTGGTTGTTTAATGAATTGAGAAATATGACTACATGCTGTGACAGCTGAAATTATGTCTGTGTGATAAAGGTGCTTGCTGAAGGCCCTATGAAGATTAGATAAAGTGTTTTTAAGTATTTGTTTACATATTGAGCTATATGTTGTCGCTAGAAACCTAATTAAATCTAAGAAGTAGTGAGGCCTTGTATAAAGTAAGGCATAGTAAATTTAGCAAGCCTTGAAGTAATAAGGCCTGTGGTGTATTTATAATTACCTTGTGAAATGAATGCATGGTTTGTACTGTAATTGGTCAGTCTAAGGACAGTTGAACTAAAGGAAATCTGAGTGGTTGTATGTTATCAAAACCATTGAGAAGCTTTAAATTGGCTGGAAAATCTGGAAACCATTCACAAGGAAGATAGAGCTCTGTAAAAAGGATTAGTTAGCTGTTGCCTGGATCAGTGGGCCCGTGGACCTCGAGGAGCCCAAGGACTGAATACCAGGGTCCTTCACGGTACCCCTTCGGACAGCGTCATTCAGGAACCCCTGACTTTGCTGAACTTTGTGGAAAGAGAGGCTTGCTGTGTATCAGGCATCAGAGGGGACTGCCGATAAGTTGCCGATGTGAATTGCTTTGTCTGTCATTGTTTGTCTTGTTACTACGCGTAGTTGTGTTTTAGTTAAGACAATAAATCTTTCTTACCTTTCTACCACCGACCATACTCTCAATCACGAACCCTCCGCAGGCGGCTGGGACACATGCATACATCATTGCGCTGTAAAGTTACTAGGGTGCACATATAAGCAGTGAAAAGGGACGCACACACTTGAATGCACGCCTTCACACACAATCCACCTGCACACATGAACGCACACGTGAACAAATATCCTAACAATCATCAAACTACTAGAACTACAGGACACACGTGAAAGGGTAGAGGGTTTAATACGAGCAAGATGAGCTTATTCTTCACACCAATGTGTCAAACTCAGTGCTATGTGAAGTTGCGGAGTCTGATTGGGCACTCCAGTTCAAGAGGCTGGGCTTTGGAGTCCAATAGATTAGACCAGTTCCTGGTACTGAATATGAGATGGGAGTGCATACTCTGAATACAAATATCCTAAACCTTTGCAATGGGACAGGGGCACAGAGTGGAAAACTCTGGATATGCCCTATTTGGCCTCCCCTTCCACATGTAGACTCTGCCACTGAGGTAGATGGGCAATGGTCTGACCCAGCAAATGTTTGTTCTTATGGAGGGCAGGGCAGTTTTAAAGAGCTCCATGAATCAATGACCCTGGTAAGTAGTGACACTAAGATGCCATTTGTCAAGCCCACCACATCTTCCCCCACCAGCCTGGCTCAGATCCCTTTTGGGTGGAACAGACGGTTCAGCCTGTCCCGGATCTCCTTGGTTCTCACCCCATACACGACAGGGTTCAGCATTGGGGGCACCAGGAGGTAGAGGTTGGCCACCATGATGTGAACGTGGTGCGGGATGTGGTGGCCAAATCGGTGGGTGAGAAAGGTGAAGAGGCCGGGAACGTAGAAAGCCAAGAGGATGCAGGTGTGGGAAACGCAGGTGCTGACGGCTTTGAGACGGGCCTCGGTGGATGGGAGCCTCATGACCGTCCGCAGGATCATGGCATAGGACACAGAGATCATGAGCACATCAAAGCCCACCACCACAAAAGCCACAAGTAGGCCATACACAACGTTGGCTCTGGCATCTCCACACACCAGCTTCACCACAGCCATGTGCTCGCAGTACGAGTGGGAGATGAGGCGGTGCCCGCAGAAGGGAAGCCGGCTGGCGAGGATGGAGAAGGGGCTTATCAAGAGGACCCCACGTATCAGCACGAGGCTTCCTATTTTCATGGTCATGGGGATGGAGAGGATGCTGTAGTGCCAGAGAGGGTAGCGGATAGCAATGTAGCGGTCCAGTGCCATGGCCATGAGAACACCCGACTCCACCGATGAGAAGGTGTGAATAAAGAACATCTGAGTGAGGCAGGCATGGAAGCCAATCTCCCTGGAGCCCAGCCAGAAGACGACCAGCATTTTGGGTACAGTGGAAGTGGTCAGGACCAGGTCAGTGATGGCCAGCATGGCCAGGAAAAAGAACATGGGCTCATGCAAGCTCGGCTCAGTCTTTATAATGAAGGAGACAATGACATTTCCCACCATGGCAATGACATACATGATGCAGAAAGGGAAGGCGATCCAGAACTGGGTGGCCTCCAGGCCTGGGATCCCAACCAGGAGGAAGGCAGCAGGGTGGAAGGGAGTACTGGCATTCAGCATTGACATGACAGGCTGTTCATCTCCAGCCTGGGCTGAAAGGGCTCTCGTTCCCTGGCAACAACCATCACCTCACCTGGAAGCACCAAGTCAATTAGTCAGACACATGCAAAGAAATGAATCGCTCAAAACAGGATCAGGTTCCTCAGTTTGAAATCCAGCCCCGTTCTCAGGACAGCGACTTACAAAAAGTCACAGGAAGTAAAGGTGTGAAAGACCCATAGGCAATCCAACTATATGGGTATTTCAAAGTATTCAGAGATTAATTGACTCATCCCAAGTAGAGTAATAGGGATTTTGCCATTGTTTTTATCATTAGCAGTCAGGCAAGGGCTGAGGGGTTTTTGCAAACCTCATCCTAGGAATGCAATGTAGAGTTGTAGATATTGTCATTTGAAGGACAGGGCCCTTTCCCTTGGCCCACTCACATTTATTCTTTATAGGTCATATTGCTGCCTTTCAAAGTCAGTGGTACTTCTATTTTCTTACTTCCGTCTCATTCCTCCCCCTTACACCCATGAATGCTGAATTCAATATTACCTGTCCTTGGAAAGAAGGCAAAATAGAAATGCGAACAGAACCTGAAATATTGAGAACCATGAGTGCATCATGAAGTTGGTCCGAGGTCTAACCTGGCCAATGTGGACCCTTGGGCTAGTGTGGCTAAGGCTCACCAGTTCCTGTAGCCAATGGCACAAACACAATGCTATGCCTAGCGTTACCACCAGCGTAAGAACTGGAAACCAGGCAAACCACGAGTGCACCATGAAGTTGGTCAAAACCAGGGCCATGCAGCTCGTTGGGTTAGTGTGGCTAAGGCTCCCAGTCATGTGACTAGCATTGCCTACAACCACCACTGACTCCTTCTCTCAAATGACTAGATACTCGTTTATAGCCTGGTCTTTGGTGTAAGTCCCGAGCCAAAGCTCAACTATATGTGTTGGAGCCATGGCCAAACTTCTTACCTGTTTTGCCAACATACCCCAAAGCATATGAGCCAGCAGTGTGCCCTTGTTGTGAATAAGGATAATGGCATCCTGGGCTGCCTTGGTAGGAGGGAAGTGATTCTTCCCCTCTATTTGGCATTGGTGAGGCCACATCTGGATTCTTGTGTCCAGTTTTGGGTCCCCACTACAGAAAGGCCTTGGACACATTGGAGAGAGTCCAGTGGAGGGCAACAAAAATGGTTCAGGGTCTGGGGACTTGACTGGTGAAGAGAGGCCGAGGGAACTGGGCTTAGTCTGGAGAGGAGACGACTGCGGCGGAATTTGATAGCAACCTTCAACTCCCTGCAAGGGGGTTGCAAAAAGGATAGAGCTGGGCCCTTCACAGCGGAGGCAAATGACAGGACAAGGAGCAATGGGCTCCAGCTGGAGCAAGGGAAGTTGAGATTGGATGTCAGGAAAAAACTCCTTGACTAGGACGGTCATAAAACATTGGAACAGCAATGCGTTGAGGTTGTGGACTTTCCACCTTTGGAGGTTTTGAAGACCCGGCTAGACAAAGCCATGGTTGGGATGATGTACTTGGGGCTGGACCAGCTTGGAGCAGGGGTTTGGACTAGATGTGACCTCCCGAGTGCCCTTCCAACCTTTTTTTCTATGATGCTATGACACCACTGAGTGCTATGAAGAAGGATGACACAATTACAATTGCTACCAGAAGCAGAGATAATTAAGAGTGACAGGAAATTAAGAGTGCAGGAAAATCATCCTGGAAGCCTGATTTTTCCCAGGATTTCCATCCAAGCATTTACAGAGTACCTTGGTTGCTGGTCAGTGTGAAAGGGAATCCTACATGGTCTCAGGGAAGCTTTGGATATGTTTCCAGGAATCGTAGACCTGAGCACGATGATAGACACAGCCGAGTGGCTTGTAATGATGCTGTTACAAGTCATTTTTGGACAAATCACCCAGAAAAGTAGCTTTTGCTTTTGTTAGCTTTGCATAGCCCATGTACACTAGTATATCACTGCCGGAGACATAGCTCAGCTCCTTGGACCATCGTGTGAGGAGTTATATTGCCATCACCCGGGCACAGTGAAGCTGGCGCGCATGCTACTTTTCAACACCGAGCAGAAATGAAATGGAAAATCTCCGATGCCCTGGAGTGTGTGGCAGCTGTTCTGCACACAATAGAAATGTGGAAATGAATGTCCAGATCCCCCCCGCCCTGCTCCTCCCCTTTCACTTTTGGCTCCAATCCTTCCAAGCGTTTGGACAAAGCGGTAGGTCATTTCCCAGGCTGAATAGCCACTATATATGCAATTGTATCTTCAGTCCCTAGATTTTATATACAGATTTGGAAATCTTCAGTGCATGGTGCTCCAGTTTTCAGAAAAAAGGGGAGTGCTGTGCCGTGCCATTGAACCCACCCCTGGCTTCCAGGGTCCAACCAGTGATTTGCAAAGATAAAAAGCATAAATCCTACCTGGGACCACAGGCTGAGAGCTGTCAGACTTGTGTGGGGAGACACAACATACACACAAGCCTGTGAGCTGCACAAGCATCAGGCGTGATGCTGAACACCCCTCGGTCTTTTCCACAGCTCTCAGTATAAGATCCATAGTTGTTTGCACATAAAGTACAAGGTTTGTTCTGACATCATCATCTTGATGGGTGTAAAGTACAAGGTTTGTTATGACATCATCATCTTGATGGGTGCATTGCACTTCACTGAATCAGCTCTCTTCTTCAAACTAGGGTTGTGTATTTGATCGGTCAAATAAAATTTGGTCAACTGACTGGTGAACTATCAATTAAAACTTGTGAAAACTTGTTAACAGGTCCAAACAATACACAGAAAAAGCAGAATTGTTCCAATAAGAAATGTGTCAAAAACAAGGAAAGACCATATAGTTGCCAAGAAAACTACCAAAGAAATGTGGGGTTTTTTGTTTAAATTGTTATAATCTTTGAAAAAACAACGCAGGGATTTCATTGATTCCCCATTATACCCTATGGCCAAATCTCTGAATTGTCTCCAAAGCTTTGGAGCCAACCAGCCGCAACCAGAACATCCTAGCCAGGGCTTTGTTTCCCTTGGTTTTAAAAACCTCAAAGGGTATAGAAACCACCACCTCTCTGGAAGCCTGTTCCAATGCTTTACTACCCTCTAGTGAGAATTTGTTTTCCTACTATATAACTTAAACTTCCCTTGCTGAAATTTGTAATATTGGGGTATCTGCAACAAAGATGTGTTTGATTGGTGCCTAGGGCAGATATCACTTGATGGGCTGTTTGCAACTGTGTGTGGCAGGCTTGGTTTCAGATGGTCTTGATGTGTCTAATTATAGTGTGGACCCTTGTTCTAAGCTCATGGTTTAGCAGCAACAGCCTTATAAAAAGCATCTCCTTGTGAAGAGAAGCATTTGCAAACTTTTTGGAGGGCAGGATTATACTCTAATAACATGCCTTAACATTTCAGATGGCAAAATGACATGTAACAAAGTCCAGTGTAAGGTGGTGCCACGAGGGAAGAAAAGCCAAATGGAAATGGATGGAATAGGGGATAAAGAGTTAGGCAGTAGCATTGCTGAGATGGATCTGGGGGGATTGGTGCATCACAGAGGAAGCAGGAGGTGTACAGCAGTTCTTGCTCCTCTTTCTGCATTCACCGGTGTTTCATTCAAGCCCCAGGGAAAACTCAGCTAGCTCCTAGGGCTTGGCTCTTACCACTGAAGCGGGGTGTCTTGACTGCCGTGTGCTGGTCCTCCTGCTGGTGCCTTGAAATCTCTGGAGCTCCTGGTTATGCCTCTCTTTAGGCCCAAATCAATCACCAAAATTGGGCCAAGGTAGACAAGGAGAGTATGTGTTGGAGGAAGGAGGTAGCTGGTCTGCCTTGCTCTGTGCCATAGGGCATATAGCCTTCCAGCCGGGATCTCTGTGCACACATTCATTAAGCAATTTATCTACTGTAGGGCTGGCAAAACAGTCAATTGGCCGGTCAAATTTTGTCAATTGATCAGTCAATTGACCGCATATTTTTGACTGTTCAAAAATAGTACAAAATTTACACCCCACCAAAACAAACAAAAAACCCCCAAACCCTACATTTTTGTAGTTTTGTTGCAAGAAATATAATTTCTGCTTTTTGATATATATTAATTAAAAATGTGTTTTTTTGTGCTTTTAGGGGAGTCTATTTGCTTTTTTTTATTTCTTATAAGTTTTGACTAATATATGACCAGTCAATTAACTAAAATTTATTAGACTGGTCAAATACCCAACCCTGATATCCTGAACAGCTTTAAAATGCCCTTCCCCTTCTCCCTCTTATGTTGTGCTAGAGTGTTTGTGGTTGTGTTTCCATGAAGTGTATGCAATACACGTGTGTGTGTGTGAAAGGAGCTTGTAGGACTGCTCCTGATCAGCGTTTTCGTCCAAGGAAAAAATCAACAGCTCCTGCTATTGCAAAAGAAACGCCAAAGAGCTGCCCTGAACCCAGACAACTCACCTGTGTCCTGGTGCAGCAGGAGTGAGGACTCCCTGCCTGGGATATGCAGGGGGATCAGTCACTCCGAGCAGGGGATATTTATGTTGCCTCCCTGTGAAGCCCTGAGCCAGCTGGGACCGACTATACTCAGATGTGCCTGTTATTTACTCCTGCCTCCAGCCCCAATTAACCCTTTCAGTGCTAGGGACTTGCATCCTGCCATTCCTTGACTAGATTTTTCTCCAGAGGGGTAATTTGAGGGAAGTCTCTTGCAGTCACATAATAAAGGACTGTATCAGAAGGCCTGCATAAGGAGCCCGTTTAAGATGGCAAGGGGAACTTGAATTCATGCATCTCCTACATAATAATTATGCTTTTGGTGATAAATACGTTAAGTAGCGCTTTTCAATTCATGGGCTGGCCAAAGAAGAGTGGGTGAAATGCCCATCCTCTTGCTAATTTCTGCTCTCAGCTGTTTTCTGACAGCTGAAGTGCTCGACTGAGGGAAGACTCCAGTGCTTCCCCAGGGCTGGGACTGACAACCAGCAACCTGTGCTCATATTATCCCCTTGGAG